GTAAAGGTCGGGCCGCAAAGTTTTTTTCTGTGGTTACCTTTTCTATGGCACCTACTTCCTAGCTATGTTAGTTGGATCAGTTAAGAACGCCTCACTTTTTCAAAAATTTACCTTGAATTGGATCGGTTTTGGCGTGTTTGATTTAGGCGAACCGATAAGGTGTCATTCAAGTCTCCCTGTTTCCTTGATTGAAACGTGATGTTTACGAAAGTCGTCTCGATAAATAAGATAGAGTCAATATACATAGCTGTGGTATTTGTTTTTTGCTGAGTTCCGTAGTTTTTTGTAAATTGTCCTCCAAAGTTGTATGAAATTAAAGTCTTGAAAAGTGTCACGACAAGCCTTCGATCGAGTGAAATTTAAATTCCGTAAAACTCTGAAAAATAAAGAGATCCGATCAATCTGATTGTGGTTTTAGTATAGGTACATGAATGTCTTACAACACACGAGAAACGAGCGAAATCCGTGTCTCAAGCAAAATCGACCGGACCGCTCTTACAGAGACACTCTCTTAATAGAGTGCCGAGTGAGCGATCCAAAGCAGAGGCTCTATTATTTAAACCAGTTCACATCTGGGGACGCTAAGGAATCAATTCAAGGCTTCATTAACCTCGACTCTCCAGATTCCTATGATAAGGCTAGAAAGGTATTAAAGGAAAGATTCGGCCATCCTTATCGCGTTGCACAGGCCTACAAGGATAAGCTGAATGCTTGGCCTCCTATGAAAGAAGGGGACGGCGCGCGTTTGCAACAGTTTGCTGATTTCCTGGTGCTTTGCGAACAAGCCATGAATACGTTAAAGTACATGGAAGGCCTTAACTCCGAGGACACTCTTAGAAGGATAACTGCAAAGCTGCCAAGTAACATGGGAGTGAAATGGTGCCGTTTTGCCAATAAGATGTTAAAATCAGAAGAAAGACTTTCTACGTTTCATGACGTTGTCAAATTTGTAACACAAGAAGCAGCCTTGGCAACCGACCCAGTATTCTCACCTGAAGCCCTCAAGGAAGCAAGGAAAGATGAGTTCACTAGCAGTAGCAGCAGTGACAACAACACCAACAGGAACACAACCTGGCGAAACAATGGAAGAAAAGGCAAGAGTACAAGTAGCTTCTTGACAAGTGCCACACCTCACGATGATCAACCGCCACCAGGTTCTTCATGTCCATTCTGCAACAGTCAGCATCACGATCTGGAGAAGTGCTCAAGTTTCAAGAAGAAGACTGTTAAAGAAAGAAGAGCATTTATCCAAGAAGCTAGAATATGTTTCGGTTGTCTCTGCTACGGCCACATGTTAAGAAGATGTCGAAACCGGAAGGTGTGTAAGACATGTAGTATGCCCCACCCGACCATCCTTCATGATGAAAGCAAAATTTCTCCCAAGCAAGGTAGTGAAGACCAAGCAAGAGTAGTTCAGGCAGCTGAAGCAACTAGCAGCTGTACAAGTACCTGTAATACTACTGGAGTCACCGATGCCATCACAAACTCTATGATTGTTCCGGTTCGAATGTACCACCAAGACAACCTCGAAAGACAAGTTGTAATTTATGCGCTGCTCGACCCAGCTAGTAACGGAACTTTCGTTAAGGAAAGCATACTCGAAGAACTGCAAGTTAATGGAGTCGAGACTCAATTGAAGCTAAACACAATGCATGGTTCAGAAGTAGTTCCTACTCGTAGAGTGAGCGGTCTTATCGTGGAAAGAATGGATAGAGCGGTCTACATCAAGCTTCCCAAGACGTACTCAAGGAACGAAATACCATCGAGAAGAAACGAGATCCCAAGGCCAGAGTCGGCAGCAAAATGGCCACACCTAAGTCATTTAGCCAACAAGATTTACCCGTACCAAAACGATCTGCAAGTGGGACTTTTGATCGGCTCAAACTGTCCAAACGCCATAAAGCCGAAGCAGGTCATTCCTGGTAGAAGCAGCAATCCTTATGCCATCCGTACCCTCCTTGGTTGGGGCATCATTGGTCCAGTGACAGGAAGTACAACCACAGAAGATTCGGATGTCTTATGTCACAGAGTTGCAGTGAACGAGATCGGTAGCGAAGAATTACCTTCCCATAGTTTTGTTGTTGAGACACACGTAAAAGAGATCATCTCTCCAGAAGCAGTTAAGAGAATGTTCGAGCGAGATTTCAATGAAGGGAAGCACGCGGCTCAACAAACCCTTTCCATGGATGATCGAAGATTCATGGCAAAGGTTAAAGAAGGAATTACCCATCGTTCAGATGGACACTATGAACTGCCATTGCCACTACGAAATGAATCGTTAGCCCTGCCGAATAACGAGAAGCTTGCAGTCCATCGCCTCCAGCAGTTGAAACTGAGATTTCGAAGAGATGAGAAATACAAAGAAGACTACACGGCATTTATGAATGACATGATTAAGAAGGGATATGCTGAGAAGATACCAAAGGACGAAGTTAGGAAAGATGGAAAGACATGGTACCTTCCTCACCATGGTGTCTTCCACCCTCAGAAGCCGGACAAGATCCGCGTAGTCTTCGATTGCTCCGCGGAGTACAAAGGGGAGGCTCTTAACAAGTATCTTCTCCAAGGCCCAGATCTTACCAACAAGCTTGTTGGAGTGCTATCGAGGTTCAGAAGGGAGCCAGTTGCCTTCATGGCAGATATAGAAGCAATTTTTCTGCAGGTCCACGTCACTGAACATTGTAGAGATCTGTTACGCTTCTTGTGGTGGGAGGATGGCGATGTAAACAAGGAGCCCACGATATACCGGATGACCGTTCATCTCTTTGGAGCTGGTTCGTCTCCCGGTTGTTGTAACTTTGCGCTAAAGAAGACCGCTGATGACCATGAGCAAGAGTTTGGCCTCGAACCAGCCGAGTTCCTGAGGAAAGATTTCTACGTTGACGACGGTCTGAAATCTGTACCTTCTACAAGTCAAGCAAAGGAGCTCATACGCAAGACTAAAGAGATGTGTCGGCGCGGAGGATTTAACCTGCATAAATTTACAAGCAACAAAAGAGAAGTTATCGAGTCCATACCAGTGGAAGATCGTGCGAAAGGCATAAAGGAGCTGAATCTCGAGAAGGATGAACTGCCTATGGAAAGAGAAAGTATTGGGTCAGACGCTTTCAAGTTCCGGATCGTGATGCAAGATCACCCTTTAACGCGAAGAGGAATTCTGTCCACTGTTAGCAGTGTGTACGATCCGTTGGGGTTTCTGGCACCTCTAATCTTGACAGGAAAAGGCCTTCTGCAAGATCTGTGCAGAGGTAAAGTGGAATGGGACGACCCTATCCCCGAGAACATAAGATCACGTTGGCTGAAATGGAGGGATGAGTTACACCACTTAGAAGATCTCTCCGTTCGAGGATGCTTTAAACCAGAAGGTTTCGGAACGGTGATATCAACACAGCTTCATCACTTCTCAGACGCAAGCACGACTGGGTATGGCCAGTGTTCATACGTTCGTTTGGTAGACGACAAAGGCCAGATCCACTGTTCCCTGATTATGGGCAAAGCAAGAGTAGCTCCTTTAGAGATGGTCACCATACCACGTCTGGAACTCACAGCAGCTGTGGTGTCAGTGAGGGTCAGCGAGATGCTCCGTCAGGAGCTCCAGTATGAAAGTGTAGAAGAAATCTTCTGGACTGACAGTAAAGTCGTGTTGGGCTACATAAAGAACGACTCGAAGAGGTTCCACGTGTTCGTAGCCAACCGTGTTCAACAAATAAGGGACCAAACCTCACCTAGCCAATGGAGACACGTCGAAACGAAGTGTAACCCAGCCGATGATGCATCGCGTGGTATCACTGCCAAGGAACTCGTTGAAAGTTCAAGATGGATTTCAGGGCCAGAGTTCCTTTGGAAACCCGAAGACCAGTGGCCACAACCCCTCGAGGCTCAAGACCTCGTTACGCCATCAGACGATCCAGAGGTGAAGAATTTGACTTCTTATGCAACAAGTACGCAAGAGCCATGGAACCTTGTTGAGAGTTTAAACTACTTCTCGGACTGGCATAGGGCGTGTAGAGCCGTTGCTATCTGTCTACGCTACAAGCAAAAACTCCGTCAACTGGCGTCCTCCAAGAAAGAAAGTTGTGCTAAACCAACAAAACGTCAGCAAAAGCCTGCCCTGACAGTGGAAGAGATTTTATCAGCTGAAAGGGAAATCCTCAAAGCAGCCCAGAGGGTCGCCTTTTCAAGGGAAATGGGTCTGTTAAAGCCGTTTCAAGAAGGACAAGATAGATCATCCGCGCAGCAGAAGAAGAGAGCCATGAAGGCGACGAGCTCGTTGTACCGCCTCGACCCATTCATTGACCATGATGGAGTGCTACGAGTTGGTGGTCGGATCCAACGAGGCGATTTTACAGATGAAACAAAGTTCCCAGTCATCCTTCCGAGAAAGGGCCACGTTACAGGTCTGATCATTAAGCACTACCATGAGAAGGTTCAACATCAAGGTCGTGGAATGTCCTTAAACGAGATCCGAGCCAATGGATTCTGGGTTATCGGCGGAACATCAGCTGTAGCCTCCAAAATTGCAAATTGTGTCACCTGCCGGAAGTTACGAGGTGCATTCCAGGAGCAGAAAATGTCCGACCTTCCGGAGGATCGTCTGGAACCGGCACCCCTCTTCACCTACTACGCTGTCGACTACTGTGGACCATGGTATATTAAGGAGGGGCGCAAGGAGGTAAAGAAGTATGTTGCCCTCTTCACGTGCATGGCATCAAGAGCCGTACATCTTGAAGTCTCGAACTCCTTGGAGACTGACTCGTTCCTCAACGCCCTGCGTCGTTTCATTTGCAGAAGGGGTCCTGTACGTCAGCTGCGCAGTGATCATGGAACGAATTTCATCGGAGCAAAACGAGAGCTCCGCGAAGCGTTGCAGTCTATGGATCAAGATCAGCACTGAGATGTTGAAAGAGAATTGTGATTGGATAACCTTTAAGATGAATTTCCCATCAGCCAGCCATGCAGGAGGAGCATGGGAGCGCCAAATCAGGACCATTCGCAGTATACTATCAGCCCTCCTGGAGAAGAGTGCAAGTTGCCTGGACGGAGAGTCCTTTCACACGCTGATTTGTGAAACCGAAGCGATCGTGAACAGCCGTCCCCTGACAGTGGATAATCTAAGCGATCCAGGGTCACTATCTCCACTGACGCCAAATCATATCCTCACAATGAAAGCAAAGCCAGTTCTACCTCTGCCTGGCGTGTTTCAAAGAGAAGACCTGTACTCAAGGAAACGTTGGCGACGAGTCCAGCATTTATCATGCGAATTCTGGGACCGTTGGAGGAAGGAATTTCTTCATAGCTTACAAGAGAGGTCCAAGTGGACGAGACCACGCCGTAACATGCAAGTTGGCGACGTAGTTATCGTTAAAGACGACAACAAGGCGAGGAATCGGTGGAGCCTTGCTCGTGTGATAGAAACGTACCCCAACAAGGCCGATGGACTGGTGCGTAGTGTCAAGGTAGCGATTGGAGACCCTGATATCTCCAGCACTGGAAAGAGAGTGCACCCCCCATCAGTTTTGGAAAGACCCATTCAAAAGCTTGTCCTGCTGCTGCCAAGAGAGGAAAGACTGGGATTCCCGCATGGGGAGCCATTCAACGAACACATTCAAAAGGAGGACTAGACACGGACATGTCAGTGAACTCTGAACTTGTTACTTTAATTATGTTTCGTTTTGTTTGAAATACGGTGATTTCAAGGGGAGCCATGTTAGTGCCCCTAAGGCACGGGTTTATCCCTTGTTTTGATTTAGTAATCGTTTAATTAATAATCTGTAAAAGTCACACTAGGTGCCTCGTCACGCGTTCCGTAAGTGGTATCGCATTTCCAAACAGAACGGATCTATTGTGCAATTCAATAATTCGATCGATTTCGCCAGCACTCGTGGTTTAATAGAAAGAAATTGTCTGTCGTTTTTATCGAAGGAAGGAAAGGTCTTTTTTGTGTCAACTCTCGCCAGATCCGGCAACAATGTAAGTTTAATTTACCTCGAGTGTTTCTATAGCTAATTTCTTGTCCCTAATTTTGTGAATCAATTATTTTTAGCTTCACGGTCAAATACGACATTTAATAAAGGAGGCGTTCCATGAAAGAAATTGGGGCGATATTTGTTGTGTCGATCAGTGAGATTCGTACGGTCCAGCTAGCGGCGATCAAGCATCGCTATAGTAAACATCCATCACTTTTAAGGTTTTTCGTCAGACGCTTTGTGCACGGAGTTGAACGTCCGTTAATTGGTTTTCAAGAAGGATGAACCAATCAGAAATTGATGACAAACACGGAACATTTTTGACTTCTTCTTCTGATATGTTATAATTCAAAGTATAATTACGGCAGTCCTATTTTAAGAATATCAGTGCAGCATGATAGTTCAAATACGAGAATAAACGAAATTTAGCCAACACCAAATATTTTAAAATACTAATAATTTCAAAATTATCAATAGGTCACCGTTAAGCGTAAATCGCCCCCCATTACTCTCAAGTTAAAGACGTTTTAACAAATAAACGAATCCTCTAAGCTCTGTGTTGTCGTAAAACACTTCGGAAGGGACAAGAGCGCGAAAGTGATCGAGAGAAAAACACGAGACGTAGTGGAATGTTTTCCTTACTTCTTGGCGGTTACTTTCCAAAATGTCATTTTCCATCTCCATGTGATTTGTGCAGTTATCCACAGCTTGTTCCACATCAGTTGCAACCAAATAACTCGTTTTCATACTCGTTTAATTTTAAAGGTCATCATGTGCAAGACTTGTGGATCAAGTGCGTCACTTTTCTTTGGAAAAATGTTTGCTAAACACACCAGCAGAAATTAAAAGCATTTCACAAAGACTTACCGAGTAAAATTTCCTGAAAGCGTTTGCCTTTAACAGTCTCTCTTGACATACAACCGATGGATTACATGACTTGAATACTTATCAAGTAATTCATTTTTAGTCGAAGGAAGGTCTTCCTTGACGAGAATCTCCAAGAAAAGTTTTCATGGAATAAAAAAAGTGTTGGAAATGTTATATCATTGTGACCTACGCTACCAAATGTAAAAAATTTCCAAATGAAAACGGGAAATTAAAAGTATTGATATCAATTAATTTAATATCGGCTTTGACAAAAGTGCAATTCCCCGTTAAATTAATGCGTGACAGCTCATGGGAAAGTTGCACGTACACAAATCGACTGTCGTTGATGAGAAGTCAGGCAATTCAGCTCTTGTCTTTCAGGATTTATCGTTTCAAATTTATTATTGATCTACTTTTTCGACAAGAACATAATGCTCTAAAATATCGAAATGAACATACAGCGGAATCACGGACTGTTGTAAAAACACAGCAAAATTGAGGTGGAAAATTATATTTTTTACTATGTATCACTAAACGCAAGCTCATAGTTATAAGAGTTAATAATTTGTAGAAGTATTTTGTAACGAAAATCGTTCCATAATTGATTATCAATTGAAGATAATAAACTCTTATATCGGTGTTGACTATTTAAGGTGGTGGTCAATTCCCCGCTAAATTAAACACAGCTCATGGGGAAGTTGCACGTATGCAAATCGACTGTCGTTGACGAAAAGTCAGGCAAGTCAGCTCTTGCTTTCCAGCATTTATCGTTTCAAAGTTATCATGTAATTCATCAACAAGAGCTTAATACTCTAAAACATTGAAGGGAACGTACAGTGGACTGGCGGACTGTTGTAAAAATACAGCGAAATTGAGGAGGAAAATGATATTTTTTACTCTATATCATTAAAATATGCAACGCAGGCTCATAGTTATAACAACCAGATGTTTCTAAGACTAAAATACATGCCAGCTTAAATGATTAATTTAAGAAAAACATTTTCTCCAGTAAAGTACAGCCTGTAAAATAATCAATATATGGTCTTAAATATTAGAGACATATGTAATATCAACACTACTTCTCTTAAACAGGTGACTTATCTTTGTTTCATCGGAAGATTTTTAACTAAACAGCAATTAAGATAAGAATTAATATGTCACGAATAGATTCTGAACCGGGAAGTCCGCGGAATCTGGGAAAGTTTTGAGTATATGCATCAGCTAATGTTTTTTTTGCGTCGGAACTATTCAGTCGTTAATTAACGGCGCTTTTTTAAGAGAAGCCTTTTGCATTCTTGCCATATATCTCTTTTGAAGAAAGCGTAAACTTTACGGTTTATTCCGTGTTTATTTAGTGACAATTAGCCTCTATTTGGCCAAGAACAACACATGTTTCAAATGACAATAATTTCAAGCGGGAATCGGTTGAAATTAATATCAAATGAGTGACGTTAACAAATACAAGCAGCAGCTGGAGCACAGAAGAAATGTAGGGGGAAACACGAGACGTAGTCGAGTGCTTTCTTTGCTTTTTGGCGCTTGGCGTGCTTGCAAACCTCTCATTTGCCTTTGTGTATTCGTCGGTAACTTAATCCGAAATTTCACTCTCTATTTGCCTGTAATAATATACATGAAAAAACTATGTGCGTCTGATTGGCTGAAAACGATTCCATTTTTGAAAATTTCTTCCACCTCTTCTACTTAAAATAAGCAGATCACCATTACTCAGAGAGAATTTCACGCCAAATGCACCCTTTTTGTGTAGCAGTACGAACCCATCGCTGATTCGCAGATGACCAAAAGATGGAAAAAAAAACCATTTATTCCATCAGAGTACTTTTCTCGTACGTGTTATGAAACCAACACAGAAACGATCACAACGTCCAATCTGAGACAAAGAAGCTATCATAAGGAGCCAATTAAAATTAAGATAAAAAAACAAGGAAATTGTTTGAAGCGCAGAAAAAGGTGAATGATTAGGGCGCAAAACAAAACAAAAAAGAAGGTTTTTTTTTAGCTCCGCAACTGAATATATTCAACACACCCCTGTTACATCTATCACATTCTTCAGTCCCGAAGTACTGTGAACGAAGAATTACTTGAGAAAAATATCGTTTCCCAAAACATCTCAGCTGTGAAGAGAAAGGTAGAATGTTTTGTTGAATACTTCACGAGTATTACACATGATGTCACGGGATGAGCCACGTGCCCTGTGCCAGTATCTTGTTGCCATGGGGACGCCAACAGATACGCACGCAGTTTGAGCATAAGCGTGCCGAGGTCACTTATGATGGATTACAGGCATTGCCTTTCGACTGAGTAGAGATCGGAAAATGGCTTTTCGGAGGTATACTACGTGTGTTGGTTGTGTAAGTCGTCAAGGCCTTTTACCTGGATAAAGAAAATCAAGAATTGCTGTGAACAGCGGTTGACGTTCCAAACTATGCAATCTCCTTCCTGGAAAAAAAGAAAATGAGTCGCCGTGAAAAGGCGAACGTTTTACCAATCATAATGCCTCTATAATTCAACTTACTTTCTAAAGTGAATGCAGCTAAATCATCCCCAGGCCACCTACATTCAAAAGTCCTTCTTGAAACTCTGACCAGGTAACGTTAAGAGTTTGGTTTGACAGGCCTAGGTGTCCTTTAAAATTATGCCTAAAGTTTGCATTTCGTGCCTAAAAAATAGAAAAAAAGACGTGACCACGGCATCGTAAAAAAGTGCGAGACACTTCAATCTACAAAATCAGCCGACCTATGGATATCTAACACTAAAATGGAGAAAGTTATGCAAGCACACCATCATTATTATCACTTCGGCGCGGGCTTTTCTTCGCCCGCCGGGAAGTATAAGGCCTTAAGCAACGCGAGCCAGCCAGAGGTCTGAAAGGGGTCTGGCACTGGTAACCTCATTATTTATCCGGGAATATAAATGGATACTGTCCCTCTCCATCCCAGAGTATGAATGGATGCTGTCCCTCTCCACCCAGGAGTATAATTAGATACTTTCCCTCTCCACCCAAGGGTATGAATGGATACTGTCCCTCTCCACCCAGGAGTATAAATAAATACTTTTCCTCTCCACCTAAGAGTATAAGCGAAAAATGTCCCTCTCCACTTAGTCACCGGTTGTTCGAAGGTGGTATAGCGCTATCCAGAGGATAAATCTTTATCTGGTGGATAGTACAGTACGTTTTTGTTGTCACTTATCTATTGGATAGCAATTTATCTGTTTGTTGGCGTTTTCTGACCCTTATAAAACTGGGCCCAGGATTTTAAAGGTTTATTTTAGAAAAGTTGTTATCAGAGAAAAAAACAAAAGAAAACATGGCACTAGGTAAATATTGGGGAAAGTTCAATTCATGGGTGTGTGTTGAATTTGGTTGGGGAGAGATATAGATATTAGGTGTGAAATAATTTGGGGAATACTAATGTTTGGAGTAAACTCCTAGGGTTTCGTTTTAGTCTCAAGAGTTCGAATATTTTTAAAATCAATTAGACTCCAAGTTTTCTTTTGAATTAATCACAAAAGCTAAAATAATCAAGTGTCATGGGTTTTAAAGAGGTTCTAGTTTTGAACAAAAGAAAATTAAAAAGCAAATGAAATCTGAATCGAATTTAAGAAAAGAACTATGGAACAGACTTACTCCTTGTTAGCTAAAACACTTGACAATTAGGCGTCAAACGTTTTTTTTAATAAAATCTATCAGTGGATCAACTCATAAATTTTAAAATATATCAATGAATTATGGGGAAAAAAACGTCTAGAGAATCAATTTTTGAGGCAAA